TATATATATATATATATATATATATATATATATATATATATATATATTTATATATATAAATGAAGACAGGACATATGAAGCATTTTAGAAACATAGTAGCCCATGTCAACTATCGCTGTGTTCCCTTGAAATCCTAATCTTGTGACAGAAGTTTGAATGTGTGCGGAAATAGTTAAAATTATGAAACGTTTATAGTAAAAGGGAAATAATAAGCTTTAAAAGTATCTAGAGTAGTGTAAGACAAAACAGAACGTATTCAGCTTTTTCATTTAACTTCATCTTGGTCAGTCAGAAAAGGGTGGATTGATCTCTTCAGGTCGAGGGTGAGGTTCTGCCTCAAGTGGAGGAGTTCGAGTATCTCAGGGTTTTGTTCACAAGTGAGGGAACAATGGAGCGTGAGATTGACGGATGGATTGGTGCAGTGTCTGCAGTAGTGCAGATGCTGTGTCGGTCCGTTGTGGTGAAGAGAGAGCTGAGCTGTAAGGCAAAGCTCTCAGTTTATCGGTCAGTCTACGTTCCTCCCCTCACTTATGGGCACGAACTCTGGGTAGTTGGACTCTCCCGTAGAGATAGTGTGAGAAGTTCAGTTATCCAGGAGAGACTCAGAGTAGAACCACTGCTCCTCCACATCGAGAGGAGCCAGTTGAGGTGGTTCGGGCATCTGGTAAGGATGGTCCCTGGACACTTCCCTAGGGAGGTGCTTCGGGCATGTCCAACTGGGAGGAGACGCTGGGGAATCCCAAGGACACGCTGGAGAGACTATGTCTCTTAGTTGGCCTGGGAATACCTTGGAGTCCTCCCAGAAGAGCTGGAAGAGGTGGCTGTGGAAATAGATGTCTGGACCTCCCTGCTCAAGCTGCCCCTGCGACGCGACTTTGGAACAAACGGAAGATGATTGATGGATTAGTCATTTGATTATTTCAAGTTTTTATTTAGTTGTTGATACAAAAATATCATTTTATCTACCAATCTGTGTAATCTTTGATTAGTTTTCATAAATTTAACTATAGTAAGAGAACTTAAACCTAATTTAAAATTAGTTATATAAGTTGTCTGTAGGGCAGCACGGTGGCACAGTTGGTAGAGCTGTTGCCTCTCTGGGAGATAGTCGTTGGATCGAATCCCAGCCAGAGGGCCATTCTGGGTGGCGTTTGCATGTTCTCTCTGTGCTGCATGGGTTTCCTCCCACAGACCAAAAACATGCATGTTAGGCTAATTGGTAACTCTAAATTGTCCCTAGGTGTGAGTGAGAGAGTGAATGGTTGTTTGTCTCGTTTGTCTCTATGTGTCTCTGTGATGGACTGGAGACTTGTCCAGGGTGTCCCCTGCCTCTCTCACAGTGACTGCTGGATATGGGCACCAGTGATCCCCGTGACCCAAAATGGAAGAAGTGGGTAAAAGATAATGGATGGATGAAGTTTTCTATTTATGTGGCGACACAGCTCTGGTTCACCTTGAGTTTAAATCTTTTTGTGCCAGAATGACTCACAACTAGTGTCTCAACGAACATCAAAACATTTTTCAGAGAGTGGTCAGCTGCTAAACAGGAAATAAGGGAAAAAGCAGCCAAAGAAAAGCTGAGTCTGAAAATAAATCGAAACTTTTTTTTTCCAGTTAAAGAAACAGTTAAAAAATATATGGAAAGTCTTCCTTCCTGGAAACAAATTAAATAATCAATTTAGGAATCAAGATATTTATTTCCCATCACTTTTCTCTTTGGGAAAGGAGTCTAACCCTAGATTTGGTCCACTTTCACAAGATATCTCAGAAAATTACACATCTGCATTCATTTTATTAGTGCTGTCAGACCAGACTTTTTATGTTCTTTGTCCACTTTCACAATGACATACGGGTAGTACCTTTCTAACTGCTAAACCTTTTCAGTACTCCTTATTCATCACATCTTCTAAAAATGTTGTTAAATTGTGGCCTAAAAACACTGTAAAGTTATGTCACTGTACATCTGACCTTCCTTAACACTAAAGGTTTGATTTATATTTTAAACTAGAGTAACAATGAATGCCATGTTAGTTAAATTTGTTTTATTGCACAGGAGAAATTAATTGTTTTTAATTATTGTTTTAAGATTACTTGTTACTTTTTGCATCATAATTAACGTTTATTATTAGCAATGCTGGTTAAAGTTATCACACTACTGTTTTAATTGCACAATAACAGGAAAATTGGCTGCCATTTTCAAATCATGTTGGATATTTTGCGTCATGTTAGTTTTAATATACTCAATTAATTTAAATTTAGAGACTCCACTGCACATCATTGTATCTGTTAAACTCTGAAATCATTAGCATTGTTTAAACATTTGTACACACCCTGATGTTTGTTGATTCTGTTGTTCATTTGTGTAGAAACGTGTTCCTACATGCTTATGTTTGTGTTTCATGAACGCAATGCTGATCATTGACAGCTTCCACCCAGCTGCAGCATCACCCAGATTGCTGCTCCTCTGCCGCTTCATCCTTCCTTTGGGCGAGCTTTCAGCACACAGACGAGATCAGAACAGAACAATGCCAGTGTGACAGCCGCTGTCATCTCGGCTGGAACCTTGTAGAAAAGGGTGACCTTCAGCAGCGGAGCTTATTAAGGCTCTTTTGAATAGCCACAGTACAAAGCCTGTCTGCAATCCGAAGCCCAGCGCCCTCATCGAGCGTGTCCGCTTCAAAGCCCTCAGGAGATCTGGATGTGAATCATGAACTAATCATAGTTCTTCCAAACCTGTCAGTTTTATAAAACAGATTAGAAAATGGGGTAAACATGTATTTTTCCTTCACTGTGAGATGTTTTAATGCTTTATCCTTTATATTGCTTCGCAGGCTTGGTTTGTAAAGCCAAACTTTGATATCATTAGCTGTTTACCCCACATGACATCTTTTTGTATCCACCTTCCAGTGCTCAGACATCATCATTACAGAGAAGATATTAGCTGTGAGACAACACTCTAACATCCCTACATGTGCACAGACATTCCTGCTCTTTTAGGTTGGTCCTTTATGATACCACCCATTTAGGCACCACCGTCTTGACTACGAAAGTCTGTTGAGTGATGTGATTGGTGAGCTCTGTTTTCGAGGCAAGGACCACTTGGATACATCATAGCAATAAACCTCCACTTCGTCACACAAACAAACAAGTAGATCTTCAACTTCGAACACCGCAGGAGCTGGCATCTCCCCTCAGATTACTTGCGTCACACTCCACATGCATCCGTTCATCTGTATTTGTTCTCACTTTCTTCCTCTCTCACACAGTCACCTCTGTTTTGCTGTTGGTCACATAATAGGGCTGTGTGGGGAGGAAGTGTTGACTGTGGCTGTGCCCCCTGGTGCTGTGGAGCTGGTTTGGCTCCAGCACGGTGCACTGGGGCCTCTTGTGCCCATAGTTCTTCCTCCTGCCTACTGTCTCAGTTCCATCCCAGCCCTTTATGCCAAACCCAGTTGCATGCCCAGTTGCGATTGTGTTGGAGCTGTATGCCAATGGGCGGCCCATTGTAGCTGAGCCTGAGCCAAAGGAGGTCTCAGCAGCCCTGGAGATGCCCAGGGATGTGCCACCTGGCATAGTCCCCACCATATGTGCCAGGGAAGTAGCCCCAAGTCCTGGCGGCTTGCTACTGTGGCTGTGAGCATGACTGTGGGAGCTGTGGGAGCTGTGGGCAACATGACTATGGCTGCCTTTGGGTTTTTGGCCATTTGGTTTGAGTCCACCTACTGCGCCTGCTATGTGTCTCTCTGTTGGGAGGCTTGAGACAGAGGAGATGCTTGGCATCTCAGTGATATAGGTGGCCACAGGCTCTGGAGTCAGTGGACCCAAGGAGGTCATGGGAGTCATGGAGGTCATTGGGGTGAGTGAAGTCATATGTGTCATAGACGTCATGGGTGTCAAAGAAGCCATGGATGCTATTGGGTTCATTGAGGTCATCTGTGTCATGGTGGAGTTCATGGGATTGGAAGTCATAGGGTTTGCAGCCATGGTGTTGGCGGTCATTGGAGTCATTGATGAGATGTTGCCCATGGATGTTCTGGAGTTTCCCATTGGCTGTAGAGGAAAGCCACCCTTTGTTGGCAGCTCTACCATGAGCCGACGCTTGCTGTAGACTTCACCATTGTACTTGGCAGCTGACACAGAAGAGAGAGAGAGAGAGAGAGAGAGAGAGAGTGAGAGAGAGAGAGAGAGAGAGAGAGAGAGAGAGAAGCAGAAAAAAAACGCAATTTAATGAAGGATTCAAATTTAAGATGAAATGTTAATTGGTGCTTGCAAAGAACAAAACTAAAATGTTACTGTCTAAAATGGTTATAACAAACAGAAATTTTATTATTTTACAGAAACTATGTAAAGTATGTCTGAGCGCACACTGTAGGAGTGTTCACAAAGTAATCTTAGAAAAAAAAAGATTTTATTTTTACTTTTACTTTGTTTGTCAGCCTCCCCTCATGTACCAGATGAGAGTGTAAAGTCATATAGTAACTCCTGCATGAAGAGGCCGGTTCTACTGCTGGATGAGTGTGATGAAAAGAAAAGCTCATCTAATTTTATTGTTTTTATAAATATGATTAAATATATATTTAAATCACATGAGAGAAAAAAAACCAATTAATTATTATTATTAATAATAATTTGCAAGTTTCAAAGGACCATTTTTAAAATGTTCCTGCTGTCCTTCTGCTGACCCAAGGACAGCAGAAGTTTTAAGGAATTGCACTTTCTGACAAATTTCTAATTATAAAAATTGTTAAAGCACAAGTTTCCTCTGACACATTTTTAAGCTATAATATAATGTGTAATGTAAATCTTTTTGGTTTTGCCCAATTTTTTTAGAAATTCTAAAAAGTAACAAGACAATGGCACTCCAGGTTCTGAGTCTTCAAATATATATTTTTATTTTTTATTTTTTAACATTTTTCTAAATTATCAAATATTTTGAGTCAGTTAAAGGACCTTACATTTTTGGAAAAAATAGCTTTATCAGATAGCAGTTTGCAGTTGGTTTGGTCTGAGCTACTTCTATGAAGTTTATATGAGTTTCCTTCTTTCTATGGTTTTCCTCCCACTGTACAAAAACACATATGTTTTGTTAATTAGCAAGCTTAAATTGATTTAATAGTGTGTGTGTGGTTGTGTGTCTCTATGTTAGCCCTGCAGCTGATGTCCAGTGTGTACCCTAATTGCTGCAGTTGTTACAACTTCCCACCCCCTCACCTTCCTCTGGCTCTGAACAGGAAAAAGGTTTAAATTAGATTAGATTTAGATTACTTTGTACATTAGATTTATTTTTCATTGTCAGCAAGCCAACAGCTGAAATAAAAATAAAGCTCTGTATGGTACATCAACAGCACCATACAACCATGAAATATGCAAACACACAAAACACTGTAGAGAAAATGAATGCGTGAGTGCTGTGTTTTTGTGTGTATCGAGCTGTGTAAAATTGACCAATGCCAGTTTTATCACTATTGTGCAGCAGAGATGTTACCACCCGTAGTGCACACTTCTCTGAAATACTTCAAACAACTGAGAAAATCTGCATGAAATGGCTGGAAATTAAAAATGAATGGCTCATATATATATATATATATATATATATATATATAAATTTTACACAATCCCATACA